ACATTTTTCTTGGTCTCATTGAGTTTGAGATAATGAGGTTCGACTGTAATGACTAGATATTTGTACATAAAGATGCAGGAAATATAAGATTAATAACCAAAAATCATATTTTCTTCTCCAGATTGACATTGTCACTGAAGAAACAGCTGATGTCGGCTTACAATCTGGAGTCCATCAAGGCTGTTGCATGGGGTATCACTCATGAAGATGATGCTTTGAGAAAGTATGAAAAGGACTTTGATGCAGCTGTAGAGCAGTCAGGTATACAGCACAAAATAACATTCATTCAACCTCTGACATGTTAACATTCAATGTGTCAAAACAAATAACAGGACTTATCCTGGTGACAAACAGAAATCAATTACTGAAGTCTAATTGTAAAAAAAAAACTAGAAATATGTCCATAGGACATGAATGCCCCGCCGAGGATATATTAGTAAAGCAACATGAAATTTGTACATGTATAAAATTTGATCAGTTTGGTTCAGGCAGGGCTTATAGTTAGATGGGAATAAAAATGTAGGTCCAGCATCCAAAGCAAGTCTGGTAGTGTCCATCCCTAGATGCATCATCCATGCAAGTTTGGTTCAGGTAGGGTTTATAGTTACTTGGGAATGAAAATAAAGGTCAGATCCAGCATCCAAAGCAAGTCTGGTAGTGTCCATCCCTAGCTGCATCATCCATGCAAGTTTGGTTTAGGTAGGGCTTATAGTTACTTGGGAATGAAAATGTAAGTCAGATCCAGCATCCGAAGCAAGTCTGGTAGTGTCCATCCCTAGATGCATCATCCATGCAAGTTTGGTCTAAGTAGGGCTGATAGTTCCTTAGGAATAAATCTGCTCCAAAAACTTCAACCTGGTCACTCATCTGGAAAATATAGGTCAGATCCAGCATCCGATGCAAGTCTGGTAGTGTCCATCCTTAGATGCATCATCCAAGCAAGTTTGGTCTAAGTTTGGTAGGGCTTATAGTTCCTTAAGAATGGACCTGCTCCAAAAACTTTAATTTGGTCACTCATCTGGAAAATGTAGGTCAGATCCAGCATCCGAAGCAAGTCCGGTAGTGTTCATCTCTAGATGCATCATCTATGCAAGTTTGTATCAACATGTAAAGTTTGATAACACCATCTTGAATGGTATGTTTAAAACTGAGCTAAACACTATTTAAGAAAAAAAGGTCAAAGGAAAGGTCAAGGTCAAAAAATGTTAATGCAGTTGCATAGCTCTCATCAATATCTATCAGCATATGAAGTTTGATGAAAATATCTTGGATAGTTTCTTTGAAACTTAGCTTTGAACAGAGCTAAACACAAAGTGGGATGGAAGGACAGAAGGACGGAAGACGGACATGACAAACACTATATGCCCCGGCCATATTCATGGCGGGGCATAAATATTCAGTTACCAACATATTCCAGAAAATTTGCTTTTTGAAGTGGAAGGATTATAAAAGCTCTACTTAGACTTTGTTTGCATTACAAAATCAATTGTATTATGGTTTGTTTGCATTCAGTAGTATTATAATTTTTTCTGAAAAGGATATGGTTGCATGAATCCGGAGTGTTGGGAGCTTCACCTGATGGCTTAGTTGTTCGACCACCAACATGCAGTGTATTTTATCAAACTCCAGAAGCCAAAGACGCCATTCCTAATATTGTAGAGGTGAAGTGTCCATATACAGCATCGTCTTCAACAGTAGCAGATGGGGCACAAAATTTGAAGGATTTTTCATAGGTAAATAACATTAAAAATCTGTATTGTCCAGTACTTTGAAATTAAAAATCTTGGTGAGTAAATGATTTCAAAACATGTATTAATTTACAAGTGCAGCTGTTCAATATGGTATGAAGATATTGAAAAAGGAGGGGATATGTACTGGTACAACACAACTTAAGTGTTTTTTGATTTTTTTTTAGATCTTAAACAAGATACCCTGTGCCTGAAAACCAGTCACCCATACTATCATCAAATTCAAGGCCAGCTACACATATGTAACAAAACATTCTGCGACTTAATTGTGTGGACAAGAGTAGACTGCATTGTGATTAGAATAGTAAAAGACATTGAATGGACAGCAAATGTTCCAAAGCTGATAGATTTCTACATTAACATTTTCATTCCAGCACTGATGGAAAACTGAGTTCTGGTTTGAACTTCTTGACACTTAGTTTTTTCTAACAATGGAAAATGGGTAATCATGTTAAATGTGTTGAATGTTCCTAAGTCTCATAAATGTATGATATGATATGTCACAATCCATCTTAAAACTTCTGGCTTATAAGACTATTTTAAATAGCAATGATGATTAATAAAATCTATGTACTACATAAAAAAAGAATATCAAAATTTAGAATCATTTTATTAATGAATTGAAGATGTTATTCTCAAAGTGAAAATGTAACATTTTGGTCTTTCTTAATAGATAAATTGTTGAAAACATGAATTTGTTGAGTTGTGCTTTAAAGGTAAATATACTTTAAACTAGAGATTTAAAATTATAAGTAAACCCTCTTCCAAATTATATTGTCAAATGAAGAATGGAATTGCCAAACATTCTTGTAATAAATCCATGCTAACAAAAGGGATTTTCATTTTCTGAAGTATATGTATTACAACATACTACAAAGTTAACAAATATAACCATTGACATTGATAACAAATCAAAATTTGCTTATCCCTTGCACTTTGGTATGAATATCTTCACTGTTTAGTGTATACTGTCACACGCCAATGCAAATTTATAATAAGTACATGTATCTTTAAGTAATTTCTTTCAAAAGTGGAGCTTGCAAGTTTACAAGACAAGAACAGAGTTGAAATATTTTTGTTGAGATTGGTCTTTAAGTAGATGGTATGTAACGGAGAATCTCGTAATTCTTTATCCTCTCGTTGGCTCTTTCCACATGAATAAGTGCTTTAGCAATCTTGTAACACAGTGCTGCTTCTTGTATGGTAAACTGGCCTCGTGTCGATAAAAGAGCTTTTATAATTAAGCAGACACCCTGGGGCAACTGGTCATGAATGGTGAAACCTTTGACCACCAAAATAAGGTCTCCAGCTTTGAACTTTCGTAAAACTTGGCTGTGACGTACAATAGCTACATCAGAAGTAGAACCTGGGTACAGCATGGAGCAAAATGTAAGTGCACCATTTGGAGGCACGCAAGTTACTGCTTTAAAAGTATGGCAACTTTTGTACATACTGTAGGCCATGGCCTGATTATCCATATGTGTTGGGATGTCCTGGGTTGTTTCAATTGCATCCATGGATGCTCTAGCAGAGGAAAAATCCTCAAAAGATTTTGGCAGAGACCCTGAAAAAAAGTTGGAAAAAAATTAATTTGATTATTTGTAATTGTGTAAAAAAATTGTGTTACAGTCAATCTTTCAAGAATACAATAAATTTAACTGCATTAAATTTTTGCAAGTCATTATGATAAATTTTAAAACAAACCTTTGCATTTAAGCTGACTTGGAAAACATTCTACGCTACATTCTACACTACGCCATCAGACAGCATCTTGTATAGGGAAAAGACCACTAATTATTTTCCCCATAGAACTCCATACAAACCTTAGGCCTTCTCAGTACTTTACTATGACAATTTCAGAAAAATCTTTAGCATCATTTCAAACTTTGTTCTAAGCCCTAACAAAAAATACTGAAAAAAATATATGGTCCCATGGCGTTTATAGGTCAAAATTGCAGTTATTTTCAACTTTTAGAGATTCGCAGTAAATAACACGCGGCATAAAAAATCAACCCCCACTCCTAAAATCTTCCCTGGCATTTCTATAGTTTCTGTAATATTCCCTCATCCATCATTTATTTCAAAGGTCATTAATTTTACTTTAAAATGAAAACAATTAAATACCTGATTTCAGCCAATGGCGTAACGCCTACCCATTCAGTATTCGGTTTAATGTTCCATAACAAACAAAGCCATGTGTGCATCCGGGGATTTGGTGCTCTCATTCCTATACTTACATACTTACCTGTCCCAGAATTAGTCAATTGTGGTAATTTCAAAGACTATACACCTACCTGTGAACATGTATGAAATTTGAGTCCTGTGACTTCAGTGTATTGGATACTGTGACCATCTCAAATGATGACACCTTACTGCTACCAGCACAATTCAAAGGAGTGAATGACGTCTGGGCCGGTGATGATATTTGGATATATTGGTGACTGTAATAAATAAAATATTTGTACAATGAATTGTTTTTGTGCTTTAATGTTAATAAAGTGATATTAAGTCAAAATTGAGTCAATAATTTCATAAGGGTGGATTCTACCCAGAATTAGGTAAAAAGCTCCAAAATTGGATAAATCATAGTTAATTAAGCAAAATTCAAAGGTTTTAAAAAGACTGATATAGAATTTTTTTATGCTTATGCAAAGTATATTATTTAAGACTCTGATAACAGATATACTAATTGATTCTTATCTAATCCCTCCTATTGCTTAAGTATGTACAAAAAAGTTTCAACACCCCCCAGTGAAAAACACTTAAAGAAATAGCAGGTGTCCCCTTTTATTTTTGTTTACAATTAATTTAGACAAGTTTAAATCAATCCTTTTGATAACAAATCAAAGTTCAATGTCCGTAGTCTTATACATTACAATCAGAAGCTACTTTTTGAATTTTATTCTTAGAAAAGGAGAATTTAAATAATTTTTTTTAAAAATTAAAGAAAAGCAAAAAAACTTCAAACCCCAAAATGTACTATACAATAAGAGGCTGGAAAGTTAATAAATAAAAAATTTACCTGCAATGTACAGAAAACTGTCCGACAAAATACATCGGGTGGGTAGGGAGTCTCCATTTTCTTCTTATATAGAGAAAATGCCCCTGCTGATCAGAGACCTAACACTCCCAAATAATAACAAAATATGTTAACATAACAGTCAATCTAAGATGTTCATCCCTCAATGGCAACAAGTTTTTATTACAGTAACTGAAATTGTTAGGAAATAGGAAATCACAATTGGAATTCCTTTAAATGTACCTTCTCTTTGTTGTATTTAATATCGTGGATTGATATTGGCTTCCTTTTACTAGGGCAAGCAATTCCTTTTCCAGTTGTATTTCTGTTGAGAGGCGCTGCATTTCTTGAGTACAGTTAAATGTGCAGGATGCTGAGTAGTTGTGCTCTGATATCAACTGAAAATATATTGTAAATCATGTACAGTTAAAAGAACTTTATATATTATTAAAAATTATTGAAAATGTTTCAGTGTTGGTCATTTGTCATCATTGGTGTTTTAAATGAGCTTTACTTTTTCTTGATATTGACATTTTGGTGCTTGTGGAATCTGCAACTGGTCCATCTGTGAAGATGACAGGGACTCCTCACTTTTGAGTTTTTTCCTCCTTTGTAAAATAATTAAACTTGAATTATTTTTTTATTCAGTTGTAAGCTACTCTGTTTATACATGTACCCTTTTAAAGATTTTTAGTAAAATATTCTCAATTAAACTCCACCCACCCACCATCAAAAAACAAGATATGTCGGTCATATTTTGAAAAATAATTTCACCTTTTTGTACATTTAGGATCAGAGAAATCCATGGCCTTTCCTTCATTCCATGCAAAATATGCAGGGTCCCCCTCCTTCTTACCATCCTTAAAGTGGCAGGAGCAGATGCTATCATTCTGATCTCCTGGTTGGCGATCAGCTGTCTAAAAATATACATTATACAAAGACTGAGTGAAGGAGAATTAAAAAGCAAAACATGTTCATTTAGCATGTTATTATCAAATAGCCTAAATGACTTATTTTTTCATTATTTATTTTTTAAATGTTACATTTACTTGCAAGTACAAGATAACCATGTGCATAACATTAACAAACGGTAGCAGTATTTGGTAGTAATAATACGAAATAAAATGTAATAAAAACAGCTGTTAAACAAAAATTAATCTTGCTACAAATTGCACAGTTTTTGTAGTATGTACTCTTCATTATTCTTCTGCTATATTGATTACTACGAGATTTACTTTTTAGCATGCATGTATAAATACTGTATCTGACAATGCAGCATCGTGACATATCGTTACAAGTACCTACAAATTTTGTCAATATATCTACGTTTACTGAGTTTTTTTAGCAGGCCGAAATATCTCCATCATGTCACCAGGAACAACACTCGTGCATCTTAATTAGTGCTGCAATAAACAAATGATTGTGTTTTTTCTCACCTGCATGGTTTTCCCGACGTTCAGCTATGTTATTTCTAACCAATGAAAATTGTCCTTACTTTTCTGTTGCGTCATGCAATTTTATTGCAAAAAAGAAACACATCACAAGAAAATAATCACAAGATTATCGAACATACATCACAAGATTTCGAATATACATCACAAGATTTCGAACATACATCACAAGATTATAGAATATACATCACAAGATTTCGAAATCTTGTATATTTATACATCACAAGAGCTGATCGCCAAGATTATAGAATATAACACAATCTTGTATGAAATATGCATTGATAATCTTGTGATGTATATTCGAAATTTGTGAAGGATTCCAAGTCATTTTAACTTATATTTGTGATCCTAAATGTACAAAAAGGTGAAATTTTATTTTAGAAATAACAAAAGTAGCTACCGTAAAAAACACAATTTAGTTTGTTTATTGGTAAGTGTTTTGTTCTGATGACATGATGGAGATATTTTTGGGAAAAAACTAAAAATATTGACAAAATTTGTAGGTACTTGTGTACAATTGAATACATGCAAAAAATAATCTCGTAGTAATCATTATACAGAAGAATAATGAAGAGTAAAAAACTCAATTTGTAGCAAGTTAATTTTAGCAGATTTTATCAGAGTATTTTATTACATTTTAATTATTACTTTTTTACACAATCTTGTACTTGCAAGTAAATGAAACATTTAAAAAAAAAATAAAAAAATAAGTTTTAGGCTAATAATAACATATTTTTTAAAACCTTACAATGTATATTTTGCTTAATCAGAGCACAACTATGATTGCACATCTGTACTTAAGGATGGAGGAAGGGCTGCTGCATATTTTGCATGGAATGAAGGAAAGGCCATGGATTTCTCTGATCCTAAATGTACAAAAAGGTGAAATTATTTTTGAATGTAAAACATATCTTGTTATAGTAAAAGGAAAATCTTAAAATACATGTATAAACAGAGTAGCTTACAACTGAATAAAAAAAATATTATTTTTAAATCATAGCAGATTATTTTACAATTAAAACAGGAAAAACACTCAAAAATTTTTTAATATATAAAGTTCTTTTAACTGTACATGATTCACAAATATTTTATTTATTACAGTCCAGTTAAAATATATCCAAATGACCAACACTGAAACATTTTCAATAATTTTTAATAATATATTAAAGTTCTTTTAACTGTACAATGATTTCAAGTTGAAATGCAAGACACAACTACTCAGTATCCTGTCAAACAGAAATACAACTGGAAAAGGAATGGCAAAAAATGCTAGTAAAAGGAAGCCAATATCAATCCACGATATTAAATACAACGAAGTGAAGGTAAAGGAATTGAATTGTGCTATTTCCTATTTCAGTTACTGTAAGGTAAAACTAGCCATTTGAGGGATGAACATCTTATTGACTGTTATGTTAACATATTTTGTTTATTATTTGGGAAGTCTGACAGCATTTTCTCTATATAAGAAGAAATAAAAATACCCCTACCACCCCGATGTATTTGTCGGACATGTACATTGCAGGTAAATTTTTTATTTATGTACTTTAGTCTTTAAATTAGTACAATTTTGGGGTTTGAATTTTGCTTTTCTTTAATTTTTAAAAAAAATTATTTAAATTCTCCTTTTCTAAGAATAAAATTCAAAAAGTAGCTTCTGATTGTAATGTATGAGACATTAAACTTTGATTTGTTATAAAAGGATTGATTTAAACTTGTCTAAATTAATTGTAAACAAAAAATAAAAGAATTTAAATTGTTTTCTTTAAGTGTTTTTCACTGGGGGGATAGGGGAATTTTTTTGTACATACTTAAGCAATAGGAGGGATTAGATAAGAATATATCTGTTATCAGAGTCTTAAATAATATACTTTGCATAAGCATAAAAAAATTCTATATCAGTCTTTTTGAAACCTTTGAACTTTGCTTAATTAACTATGATTTATCCAATTTTGGAGCTTTTTACCTAATTCTGGGTAGAATCCACCTTTATGAAATTATTAACTCAATTTTAACTTAATATCACTTTCTAACATTAAAGCACAAAAACAATTCATTGTACAAATATTTTATTTATTACAGTCACAATATATCCAAATATCATCACCAGCCAGACGTCATTCACTTTTGAAATTGAGAGCAGTGAGTGTCATCATTTGAGATGGTGCCACAGTATCCAATACACTGAAGTCACAGGACTCAAATTTCATACAAAGGTTGTATAGTCTTTGAAATTCCACAATTGACTAGATGCTGGGACAGGTAAGATGTAGAATGACATATACACTAAACACCAAAATGAACAGGTTTGTTGTTATGGAACATTAAACCAAATACTGAATGGGTGCGTTACGCCATTCGCTGAAATCAGGTATTTAATTGTTTTCATTTTTTTAAAGTAAAATTAATGACCTTTGAAATAACATAATGGGATGAGGGAATATTACAGAAACTAATGGATTAATTTTTTAGGAGTGGTGTTTTTTTTATGCTGCGTGTTATTTACTGCGAAATCTTATAAGTTGAAAATAACTGCAATTTTGACCTATAAACGCCATGGGACCATATATTTTTTTCAGTATTTTTTGTTAGGGCTTAGAACAAAGTTTGAAATGATGCTAAAGATTTTTCTGAAATTGTATAGTAAAGTAAGAAGGCCTAAGGTTTGTATGGAGTTCTATGGGAAAATAATTAGTGGACTTTTCCCTATACAAGATGCTGTCTGATTGGAATGTGCACGTAGAATGTTTTCCAAGTCAGCTTAAATGCAAAGGTTTGTTTTAAAATTTATCATAATGACTTGCAAAAATTTAATGCATTTAAATTTATTGTATTCTTGAAAAATTGACTGTAACACAATTTTTTTACACAATTACAAATAATCAAATTAATTTTTTTCCAACTTTTTTTCAAAATCTTTTGAGGATTTTTCCTTTGAGCATCCTATGAAACAACCCAGGACATCCAACACATATGGATAATAGGCCATGGCCTACAGTATGTGTACAAAAGTTGCCATATTTTAAAATTGCATGCCTCCAAATGGTGCCACTTACATTTTGCTAAAATTCTTCTCCATGCTGTTGACTCTGTTCTGATGTAGCTATTGTACGTCACAGCCAAGTTTTACGAAAGTTCAAAGCTGGATATTTTGGTGGTCAAAGGTTTCACCATTCATGACCAGTTGCCCAGTGTGCTTAATTATAAAAGCTCTTTTATCGTCACGAGGCCAGTTTATTCAAGAAGCAACTGTGTTACAAGATTGCTAAAGCACTTTTTATGTGGAAATTGAGAGGATAAAGATTGGTTATATTTGTACATATCTACTTAAAGACCATCTTCAACAAAAATATTTCAATGTCTTGTAAACTTGCAAAAACTTTTTGAAAGAAATTACTAAAGATACATGTACTTATTATAAATTTGCATTGGCAACACTAAAAACATGAAATATTTATACCAAAGTGCAAGGGATAAGCAAATTTTGATATTGTTATGAAATGTCAATGGTTATATTTGTTAACTTTGTAGTATGTTGTAATACATGTACTTCAGAAAATGAAAATCCTTTTGTTAGCATCAACAATTTATGTTTGGCAATTCCATTCTTTCATTTGACAATATAATTTGGAAGGGTTTGCTTATAATTTTAAATCTCTAGCTTTAAAGTATATATTACCTTTAAAGCACAACTCAACAATTCATGTTTTCAACAATTTATCTAGAAAAACAAAATGTTACATTTTCACTTTGAAATAACATCTTTAATTCATTAATAAAATGATTCTAAATTTTGATATTCTTTTTTTATGTTACATAGATTTGTACTGCTATTTAAAATAGTCTTATAAGCCAGAAGTTTGATGATGTGTATGGGTGTCCATACATTTATGAGTTTAGGAACATCAACACATTTAACATAATTACCCATTTTCCATTGTTAGAAAATTGCTAGAGGTACAAAATTAAGTGTCAAGAAGTTCAAACCAGAACTCAGTTTTCCAAAATGAAAATGTTAATGTAGAAAACAGCTTTGGAACATTTGTGTGCATTCAATGTCTTTTACTATTCTAATCACAATGCAGTCTACTCTTGTCCACAATTAAGTCGCAGAATGTTTTGTTACATATGTGTAGCTGGCCTTGAAATTTGATGATGAACAGTTTTCAGGCACAGGTATCTTGTTTTAAATCTAAAAAAAAAATCAAAAAACACTTAAGTATGTTTGTAAATATCCCTCCTTTCAACTCTTCATCCATATTGAACAGCTGCATTAATACATGTTTTGAAATCATTTACTGGCCAAATTTTTAATTTCAAAGTACTGGACAATACAGATTTTTAATGTTATTTACCTATGAAAAATCCTTCAAATTTTGTGCCCCATCTGTACTGTTGAAGACGATGCTGTATATGGACACTTCACCTCTACTGCGGAATCGCATCTTGGCTTCTGGAGTTTGATAAAATACACTGCATGTTGGTGGTGCGAACAACTAAGCCATCAGGTGAACTTGCCCAACACACCAGATTCATGCAACCATATCCTTTTCAGAAAAAATTATAATACTACTGAATGCAAACAAACCATAATACAATTGATTTTGTAATGCAAACAAAGTCTAAGTAGAGCTGTTATAATCCTTCCACTTCAAAAAGCAAATTTTCTGGAATATGTTGGTAACTGAATATTTATCCCCCGCCATGAATTGGCCGGGGCATATAGTATTTGTCATGTCCGTCTTGCAGTCCTTCTGTCCTTCCATCCACTTTGTGTTTAGCTCTGTTCAAAGCTAAGTTTCAAAGAAACTATCCAAGATATTTTCATCAAACTTCATATATATGCTGATAGATATTGATCAGAGCTATGCAACTGCATTGACCTAACATTTTTTGACCTTGACCTGACTTTTCTTAAATAGTGTTTAGCTCAGTTTTAAACATACCATTCAAGATGGTGTTATCAAACTTTACATGTTGATACAAACTTGCAT